CAGTTAAATTTGCTAGACTATCCTGGCACCTGTCATCAGAGGAGGCCTTCGAGGTGACAAAGGGCATAATGAGAGCTGGGAGATAGTGCTGGAGAAAGGAAGTCAGGAGGAAGCCCTGGAGCCCAGACCCAGGAGTCCAAAAGAAACAGAGACCAGATGTTGCCATCTCTGCAAACAGCAACAGTCCTGTGGGAGACCAAAGATCTGTTCCTGCTTTGTCACTGCATTTTATTCTTAGCATGACAAGCATGAAGACCTTCACAGATATTCAAAATGCTATGTGCTTACTGCAGAACAAAGGAATAATTAAAAAGAAAGGCAGGGTGCAATTAGCAAGTAGAATCCTCTCCCATCGTGAGTCTAGCAGGAAAAGGTCCAGCAGGACAGGTAGAGCTTCAGATGGGACCTCTCAACTGTAGTTCCAGCCTGTGGTCCACCTTGGACAAGGAGAGAGAGAACAAACTGGGGGAAACCCACGGCCTTCTGTTGCAGTTCCCCACTTGTCTTTGGAATAGTGTCTGCTCTCCTCTGCCTGCACAAAGGAGCACACAGACATTTCATGCCATGTTTTTCCTTTAATCTGTTTTGGAGCTAGGCATGATGGTGCATGCCTGTAATCCCAGCACTTGGAAGGTTGAGGCAAGGGGATCACAAATTTGAAGCCACCCTGAGCTATGCAGCGAGTTCCAGGCCAGTGTGAGCTACATAGTGAGACCCTGGCCTGGAATGACAACAACAAAAATAAATTTTGGTTTGGTCTGATCAGTAGAGGACTGGGGATGGCAAAGTCAGGCTCTGCTCCAAGATGTGACCACTCCATTATACAGTGCTACCTGTCACAATTGTGCAAAGAAGGCAGCATTAACCTGACATGGTATAATCCCAGCAATTTGGAGGCTCACATAAGAGGATCACAAATTCAAGGCCAACCTGGGCTACCCAACAAGACCTTATCTCAAGAAACCAAAGAAGAAGAAGAAAGAGGAGGAGGAGGAGGGAAAGAAGGATGAAGAGGAGGAAGAAGAGGAAAAGGAATCACTGGAAAATGCTAGAAGTGTTACGAAAAACCCTGACCTAGCCTAGGGTGAGGGTCTTTCCTGAGAAAAGAGTACCTGAGCATTGCTTGATGGAAGAGGAAACGAGTTACCAAGTGGAGAAGAACTGCCTACAGGCAGCTCCAAGTGGGAGCTGGGATGGTGAATTCTACGCAGTATGATGACTTTGAGATGCTTTTGAATAATGTCCAGTAAACAACTGGATTTGTGAGTCTGAATAGCAGGTATGATAAACCTTTGGTTGGATAGGGGTTTAATTTAATGAAACATTTGCTGAGTGACTGAATGAGTGAACACTCTTGAAGTTGGGATTGAGCTTTAGGAATCTTTCAGCTTATGACCTGCAGAAATGGGAGTCATCTGGATGTGCCAGTTCTGCTTGGTAGAACCCTGGTGGCAACAGCTCAAGCAATGAGTAATTCACTCTTGTCCCTTTAGTCACCAAAAGCCTCATTTTGGTGGCCTTTTGCAGGGCTCCTTTCTGAACTGGACTCCAAGGTGCCCTAGCCCCTGGTTCCCTCCCAGTCTGGCATGGCAGAAGACAGTCCCCTCCACAAACTGTACAAATAACCACAGAATCTCTCAGGGCATGGCTTTGACCGTTCATAGGATCTTCCCTTCTCCCTTCACCTGCTCTCCTCTATTACAGAATGAAGGGCTAGAATTTGACAGCCCCTGGAAATAGCTGTGAGTTCCCAGAAGTAAAGGGCTGCTTCCTCTCAAGAGGGGGCTCTGGCTTGATGAGACCTCTCTGGCTGCTGTATGAGGGAAGAGGACCCTAGGTGCCCCAGTGGCTCCCTGAGCTCCTCTGTTCCAGCCAGTTCCTAGGTTGTAGGGAACCACGTCTTCTTTCTCCAGACCCACTTTCTCTGGTTTCCTGGCTCTGTTAGATCCCTGTGCCCATCCTGGCTCAGCAGGAGATTGAGCCAGGCACACCAGGCTGACCAGTCCAGCAAGATCAGAACCAGGAACATAGGTGCAGAGGCCAGGAACAGAGCTGCTGGCCAGAGGGCTGGCTGAGCCCCTGCTCACTTGGCCCTGGGACAGACAGAGCACAACTGCCCTGAGCCAGCTTCATCTACTTTGGTTCTGCTTCTGCCTGGGTCAGCAGCAACTCATCTCTTTCCACCAGGAGGCTAGCAGCGCCTTGGCTCTGCCCTCTGTGAAGCTCAGCCACCTGTTCTGCCCACAACCAAGCCCTCCTCACCCAGTGCCTGCCCTGCCCTACCTTTTGGGAGCACCAGAAGGTGGGCCTGGGTCCTCTGCTGCCTCCTCAGGCCTTCGTACTGGGCTCTCAGGAACTGGATGCTGACAGGGGGACCTTCCCTGGGTGCCTGGGTTCTGGAACCCTCAGCCATGAAGTGAGCCCCCAGCTGCCAGAAGTGGGGCAGAGCAGGGCAGGGGCAGACCAACCCCTTCATCCAGATCCGGGGAAAAAGCAAACAGTGAAGGGTGAGGCAGAGGAGAAGGGAAGGGAGGGGACAGGGAGGGGGGATGAGGTAGAAGGGAAGGTGGTGGGGTGAAAGGAGGGTGGAAAGGGGGGCAGGAAGTGAGGAGAGAAAGTGGAAAGATGTGGGGGTGAGAAAAAAGAAGGGGGAATCTCTTGGAGGGAGGGAGAAGTGGGAAGGTGGAAAGAGGGAGGAAAGAGAAGGAAAGGTCAGGAGGGAATTTGGGGAGGGGGTGAGAAAAGGGTAGCAGAGGGGGAAGGAAAGAACAAGGAGATAGTGTCTTGGGGAATCAATGGGGAGAGAGGTAGGGAAGGGGTGACTGAGGAGTGAGAGGTAGACAGGAGAGGGCAGGGGAGGGGAGATGAAGAGAAAGGCAAGCACAGCCAGCAGCTGGGGTCCTTCTAGAAGTCCAAGGAGGTCTCTTGTTCCAAGTTCCTCACTGCTTCTCCTCAAGTTAGATTCTAATTCCAAGAGCTACAGCGAAGTGCCCTGGTTCCTGGCAGAGCTGGAGCTGGGCTGAGGAGTGCCAGGTGTCTGCTGGGCTCACACATGTTGGACTGGACTTGGTGGCTCATCCAAACCTGCTGGTTTGGTTTACAGCTGTCAAAAGAGATACCTTCAGCCACCTCAAAAGCTGGGGCTCTGGCCATGCACACTGTTGCCACACACTACATGAACTCAGCAGCACAGATCTCTCCAAGGTCTCCCCTCACCACCCCAAAACACACCCCAGGCAAAAGTGCAGCCTAAAGTCTGCCATGTGGGCAGAGCCCCGGGGAGAGTGAGCCGGGGACTCTTGCCAGCTCCACCCCTTTGACATTTGATGAGGCCTCTGTGGTCTTGGCACTTTCCAACCAAGCAGTAAGTTGGTGTTTACCTTACCCACAGCTAGGCACGCCCTCACCTCCTGCTTTCAACCAGGACAGCTCTGCGTCCCTTCCAATGCCAGACGCCCTGCCCCCTCTCTTACTCCAGTTTTGACCCTTCCTTGCTGTACTTGCTCAGCTAAATCCTTTCCTTTCTTCTCCTAACAGGATTACAGGTTACCCAAGACATGACAATGACGATGACAATGACGCAAGACACCTGCAGAGTGCGTGACTGAGGAGATGGGAGGGTAAATCTTCATTGGGTAGTGGGTGAGTTTGCTAGGGCTGCCATAACAAAATCCCACAGACTGGGTGTCTTAAATGATGACTTTTTTTTTTTCCTGGTCTCATAGTTCTGGAGGCTAGAAGTCCAAGATCAAGTTATCAGCAGGGATGGTTTCTTTTGAAGGGCTGTGAAGGAGAATCTGTACTGTGCTTCCTACCTAGTTTCTGGTGGTTTGCTGGTAATCCTTGTCTTATAAAGAATTGTCTGAATTTTGGTATGATAATACATTCATATAATCCCAGCCCTCAGGGGACAGAGGCAGAGAGATTGTGAGTTTGAGGCCAGTCCGGAAATATTTTACCATTAGTTAGGAATATATTGAATTGAGACATGGCCTCAAAAAGTACATTTTTTTTCCCTTTTCAGTTTCCCTATTAGCTTGTTCAAGTTCATGTTCAGTGAACAGTGACATCTTCCTTTACGCTCTCTTACTTTCTTCTTTCTGCTCCCTGGTTCCAGATCTCTCATCTCTTAACTGCTGGCTCATTATGGTGTTCTGACTCTTGGAGGAGAGGATAGATTCAGGCTGGGTGAATCTTCTGTGAGACTACTTCTTAACATGCCCCAGTGTTATTGTGTGTTTTAAGAAAGGTGCTCTCTTTTCCCCACCTCATCAAGACCTCTTCCAATTATCCTGACTGGAGTTGGGTAGATGTCCATCAATGGAGTGGGTATGCACTCTTAGAAGAAGGTGTTGGGGAGAAAATGTCCATCTGCCTTGCAGGAATGGAAGTCTTTAGCTCAATGTGTCAGTTGAAGTCTTGGAATTGGATGAGATTTGCAGTCGAGGAGAATATTTTAAGAGACTGAGCTGTAGAGGAAACCAATATTTAAGGAGGAGGTGGAAGTAAGAAATAATGCTGAAAAAGGAAAAAGTTCAGACAAAGCAAATGTTAGGGGAAACAGCAACGGGGGGGCTTCTCAGACTGTAAGGAAGGGGAGAATGTCACAACACAGGGTAGCCAAAATGGCAGAGGACAGACTCTCCAGATCTCCTACCTGCCTTGTGGACTAGCATCTGAGCCTTGTGCAAGAGAGGGATTGTCTACTGGCTATCCAGCAAAAGCTCTATTGCTTGAGTGCCTCTCCTGGACATTCCTATTGAATTAGCCCAGGGTGGTGTCTGGAGTTTAGTTTAATCTCTAGTTTTCCACTGCAGTAGAGAGTCATTTGTCCAAGTTTCTGGGTCCCTGGGTCTTCAGTTAAGAGACAAGTGGTGGGAGAGTGGCAAAGCTGCCACTCTTTATATCAGCAGGTCTCTACCATGAGCTGAAGGTAAGACGGACCCTCTGTGCTGGTCCAGCTGCACTTGCCATAATATTGGGCTCAATTTCTACTATAGGATTTATAGTCAACCTTCATCTTTTGGTATTAACTGTTTCTGTCTTTCTCTGTGTGTGCATCTTCCTGGCTATTTCAATAAGAAACAAGTAGAGGCTATTAGCTGCTCTTGGCATGCCTTTTAGGAACTTAAGTTTCCTCTTTTATTATTATTTATCATGTATTATTTTTATTTTTTGTGGCACTGGGGGAACCCTTGCCTGCACATGCTAGGCAAGTGCTCTTCTACTGAGCCACAACCCCAGAAGGCCCTAGCGCCTTGATTTGGTTCAGATGGTGCCTCTCTTTCTTTTAACAATCAACTCTTTAATTCATTTGGAATTAATTTTAGTGTTAGAGTTTTAGGTGTAAGGCAGGGATACAGCTATTTTTTCTCCAAATAACTGCCCAATTGTCACAATACCACTTACTGATCAAATATTCCTTTCCTGTGATTTGTGATAACAATGATGTAAGAAAAAAAAGCAGCCATATCCCATCCCAAGGAGACTTTAGAAATAAATAAAAAGTATGATTGAAATGAAAAACTTTCCTCGAAAATGCTAATGAATGCTACCAATGCAGGGTGTCCCATATTGTCCAAGTAGCACCTCCAGGGCAGCAGGAAATAAACTAAAAGGTGTGCAGGGTTGAAGACTCTGGAGTAAGGATGAGATTCCCAGTAATCTGAGGAAATATTCCTTTTTTGTATGAATTTAATTTGTATCTAACCCTCAACATAGTGTCTGTGGTTGAGAGAGATGCTTGTGTTTAGTCTAGCAGGTCTGCTCTTGAAAGGAACCCCATTCGTATAGCTCATGCTGGAATGTTCTGTAAAGGAACTTAGACCAAGAGGATCACAGAGCCACTTTGTACAAGAGATCCAGCCATTCATTGAGACTTGGGTAACAACAGATGTCACTTACCACTGGGGCTCTGCTCCAGAATGACTCATACAGCAATGGAAAGGTCAGCCCTCAGTAGGAAGAGATTCAAAAACTTGGAGAGGAAGTCCTTAGGGGAGCTGGTGGGAGAGCCAAAGTCTGGGAGAGCCAGGTGTTCTGTGGGGTTGGGGAGACCGATCCTGTCTTTGCGGAGGACTTCAGTTTGGAGTTCCACTTGGGACTCCAGGAAAGTTTCTTATTTCAATCCTTAGCTTTCTTTTCCCTACAACAATTTTGGTCAGGTATGATCTTACCCTACAGGCTAGTGAGGTAGCCTCAGAGAAACAGAAAGGGTAGGATGGAGAGAGAAGGGAGGCCTCCTGGGGCCATTTTCTCCCTGATTGCAGTGGCTGTGGGGTTCATCCTCACATGGGCTGTGATTTGGGGGTTTGTGTGGTGAGAGGCAGTGTCCACAGGAAAGCCAGGTACAATCGGGAAGGACTCAAGTATCAAGAACTGTTCCAGGACAGACAAATTCACAAATTCCAAGGTCTCGGCCTTACAGAGTTAGGAAGGTTCCTCTGCAAAAGAAGAGGGCAGACCATGGATAACAAAGCAATGGTTGCATTCATTGAGCTCAAACTGTAATGGACCAGGCACGTGCTAATCCCCATGAGCAAAATCAAAAATTTTCTATTGTGGTAAAACATGTGTGACACGAAATTTATTATTTTAACTGTTTTTAAGAGTATAATTCAATGATATTAAGTACACTTATAATGTACCACAACAATCACCATCATCCATTTCCAGAACATGTTAATCATCTCAAACAGAAATTCTGTATTGGTAAATAACAATTCCTTTCACTCCAACCACTGATAACCTGTGGAAAACTTTCTGTCTCTATGACCTTAGGTTTTCCATATAAGTGGGATGATACGATATTTATTTTTTTGTATCTGGCTTATTTTACTTAATGTGATGTATTGAGGTTCACATCTGTAGTAGGTATCAGAACTTCAGTGTGTTTTCTGATGGAATAAAGTTCCATTGTACAGACATTCCACATGTTGTTCACCCATTCACCTGTTGGTGGACACTTGGGTTGTCGCTATCTTTTGGGCGTTGTGAATAACACTGCTATGAACATTGGGGTTCAAGTAGTTGAGTCCCTGCTTTCAATTCTTTTGGAAGTCTTAGACCATACTTCTATGTTTACAGTAATTCAATGGTTAACTTTGTGAGGAACCTGCAAAAATCAAATTTAATTTCCTATGAGAATATTCTGAGAGAAGCAGCATCACTATATTTTCTCCTTCACCTTGTACATGAGATCCAGCCCCAGGCCCCAGCAATTCCAGCTCTGAAAGATATCTTGAATCCACCTGCTAGTCTCTGCCTCTACTAGTCTATGTTGTCATCTTTCTTTTTTCCTGGACCACTGCAATAGCCTTAAAAAATAAATTTATCTATCTATCTATCTATTTATCATCGATCTATCTTTCTATTATCTATCTATCTATCTTTCTATTATCTATCTATCTATCTACTATCTATCTATCTATCTATCTATCTATCTATCTATCTATCTATCTATCTACGTTTGAGACAGAATCTCCCTATGTAGCCTGAGCT